GGATCCTCAGGGAGGTAGCCTTCCACAACTGCCCCGGATTCGATGGCGGCAGCACGGATCGGAGCAACAGGCGGCAAGAAGTAGCTTACCTTGCAGCCGCGCTTGCAGAGCTCCTGCACTAGGGCAAAGGTAGGGTTCACGTGGCCGATCATTGCCACATTGAAGATGGCGATGGTCGGGCCCTCCGCGGTGATCTGCTGATCCATCGGCTGGCTCATTGGGGCCATGATCCACGGGTCGACAAGGCGAAAGTATTGCGTGCGAAGGAAGTTTTGAGAGCTGTGGATGGATCCGTAGCCAAGCACAACCATTATGGCTCAGGGTTTGGGAGCTTCGGGCTCGCCATGCTATGCATGAACGACAATGAAGAACTTTCTGATGGTGCAGGGTTTAAGTGGAGAGATCCAGGCCCCGAGCTTTGTCGGTTTGTTTTCACGATGAGACAGGGGGAAGGAAATGGTTGGGCGCAGGTTGTAGTGACTGCGGGTAAACCTAAGCTCACGAGTCTCTACCAAACCACAACATCATGAGATCAACCCTAGTCGGCCGGCTTATCAACCGGAGTAGTATCCTGATGATGGCGGTGATAGCCGCACCCTGGCAATCAGCACGACCAGTCCCAGCATTTGCTTCTTCGAAAGAACAGCTACCGTGAGGAGTAGTTTTACTCCTCGCAATTCTTGAGCGGCATCACCCTTCTACTCTTTGTGACCTATTCTGACGTTCCGCCTCATCAACAAGCCCTCCCTCCCTCCCTGCTGCCTGCCACTCTACAGACAAGCAGGCCAGCAACAGTGACAGCCGAGCCCAGGCCACGTTGGCGGGGTCCTCGCTGGGTTTATCGCTCAGGTTTTTGCTTGGGACGTGGTGCTTTGAAGGCTCGGACCTCCGGGACTTTCGAACCGCAAAGCGCAGATGCTTGGGTTTGGGGATGTAGTTCCAGAGGCCTGCTAGATTCCAGATGTGGCCCATATCAGCTTCTGTCCTTCAGCTTTTTCAACTTACTTACACTCTCGCCCTGCCTTTGTGGCAGGCGGGGGGCCCGCTCTAACGCCCATGATTTGGTCTTCAGAACAACTACTAAACTCAACCCTAACACCGTAAACAAAGCCCTCAGGCCCTGAAGACCTCAATCCGCGGACCCCTGAAACTTTCAGATCCTAACCCCAGACCCCCAAAGACCTAATTGACCCCGGGCAGCCCTCAAATCCGCAGACTCTCAGAACTTTGGAACGCAAAACCTGACCCCGCCCGCAAAGCCCTAAAGCTTAAGCAACCCAAAATATCGAAAGCCTCGAAACCCTAAAACGAGTAAACCCTAAAAGCCCTACAAACCCACAGCTCCGAAAAAGTCACATCTCTGCAGCAACCCAAGCCTGACTCACTACAGCACCAGCAAAAGCTTCAAACCTCACTACAACCCACAACCCCAATGCCCAAAACTTTGAAACCTAAACCCCCGTAGATCCCTTGTCCACTCAGTAACCCTAGAATTCAGAATCCCGTTAAAGGAACCTTCCTCCAGCCCTAGGAGTCCTGGCAGAGATAGGTCGGATACGTCGGATAGGCCAGATAGGGACGATAGTGAGCACCAGGATGCGGCCCCATGCGGTCCCAGGATGCGGAGATCACTTGAAGACGAAGCCCCTGCGATTTCGTGTTCTACGGTCTGGGGCCTTTCACGGGCTTCAGTGCTTCGTGATCTGGGAGTCCCAAATGCAAAGCTACCAAGCCCTTACAACAACCCACGGCCGTGAAGCCTAAAACCCTCTAGACCAAAACTGCTGAAGCTCAAATGCTCAATCTCCCCAACAAATCTGGACCCTAAAGCCCGCGAGGCCTCAAACACAAAGCCCTCAACCACCCGCCTCAAGCCCTCATGCGCCGATACAAAACACATGCTCTAAATGCCGATGATTTGGTCTTCAGAACACCCTACTAAACTCAACCCTAACACCGTAAACAAAGCCCTCCTAAACTCAACCCTAACACCGTAAACAAAGCCCTCAGGACCTAAAGACCTCCAGACCCCCAAAGACCTAATTGACCCCGGGCAGCCCTCAAATCCGCAGACTCCCCTTGAATCACTCAGAACTTTGGAACGCAAAACCTGACCCCGCCCCCAAAGCCCTAAAGCTTAAGCAACCCGAAACATCGAAAGCCTCGAAACTCTAAATGGAGTAAACCCTAAAAAGCCCTACAAACCCACAGCTCCGAAAAAGTCACATCTCTGCAGCAACCCAAGCCTGACTCACTACAGCACCAGCAAAAGCTTCAAACCTCACTACAACCCACAACCCCAATGCCCAAAACTTTGAAGCCTAAACCCCCGTAGATCCCTTGTCCACTCAGTAACCCTAGAATTCAGAATCCCGCTTTAGCGCACACACGGCACACTAGCGACTCTTTTTGCGGTCACCTGCGCCATCGATCATGCCAAAGGCTGCACCCGAACTATGGCACAGCGCCCTTCGGCCCC